TGTCAGCTGCTGGCACACTGCTGGACATGTGGAAAGCGCTCGCCATGTGGCAGCTGTCATTTGTCTGTTTGTTTCAGTAGTGTTGTAGTTAGATAGGAATAACCTCTCTGGATCACTCGTTTTTCATAAACCTTGACCGAGCACCTAATGTGCGGGAGCTCTGGGGACCCAAGATGCTCGTGCCTTTAAGGAGTTACGAGTTAATTGCAGGAGACAGAGGTGGTTAATTACTGCACACTCTGCAACTTGCTCAGGGGTAGGGGAATCAGGGAGGGCTTCCCAGATGAGGTGCCTTTTCATCTAGGCCTGAATAGATGCGTTGGGTTTTATCAGATTGGGAGTGGGGAAGGGGTTAACACGAGAAAAGACAGGTTCTGGCCAGGAAATCTGTGAAACAATTTGTGGGTAGGGCCAAAAGAGAGCAGTTAAAATCACTCGGGAGAGTTCCTTAGGAAGGCCTCGGGTCAGAGGTCACTGGCCCAGTCTGATCACTGTCTCTGCAGTTGAGGCCAGGTAAATGGGTTGGTGACAGCTGGTGACACCTGGAGAGTGCATGATGCAAACATCCCGGCATAAGGATTGTGTTCGCGGGTGGTTAACTGCTCCCTCCAGGAGAGGCTCGGCAGATGCCCCTTGAGCACAATGCTCCTGTCCTGAGTGTCCAGGGCACCTGTGCTGAGCGCCCCGGCGGTGGGCGGCGGGGGGGGGGGGGGGGTGCCCATGCCCGCGCACGTGCTCTGCTGAGCTCTCTTCCTGCTTAGATCCAGCGCAGAGGGTTCATTAGTGTAAATCACACATGCGTGTGATGGGCCGCCATTGAACAGAGGGCTGGCGAATGGGGTGTAATTTCTTTGATTAAGAGGAGATTTCACCAGGGGTTATATGCGGGGAGGGATGAACAGGCGGAGCACAGAGGATTGTTAGGGCAGTGAAACTATTCTGTATGATACTATAATGGTGGATACATGTCATTATACAGTTTTCCAAACTCGTGGAATATGCAACACCAAGAGTGAACCCTGATGTTAATGTTGGGTGATTATGATACGTCAGTGTGGGTTCATCAGTTGTAACAAATGTACCACTCCGGTGGGGGTGTTGATAATGAGGGATGTGTGCATGTGTGGGGGCAGGGGGTATATAGAAAAATCTCTGTACCTTCCTCTCAGTTTTGCTGTGAACCTAAAACTGCTTTAAAAAAATAGTGTATTTTTAAAAAAGCTTTCACCTTTTCCTGCCTCATGTTGCAATTATGAATATGCTGTTCCTTTGCTTCCATAAGAAGTTCGGGCCAGTGGGGAAGAAGGCCTCAGACGAAAATTCAGAATTCAAGCAGGCCTTGGAGTGAAGGAGCAGTTTCCCTAGTCTGTGCCATAGTACCCAGCTGCAGCCTTGCCACCTGCTCTGGGTTTCTTGAAGATAAGAGCCACAGAGATAGTATCCTTCTTGTCTTCAATAATATATGAAGTCTTGACTTGTTTTTTTTCATAGCTATGGTGTCATGGGAATAAATTACTGGCTTTTTTGTTTTTTACAGATTTATCAGTGTTTTCAGTTAAAAACAATTGTAACTCGAGCTATGATGAATTCTTCTAAATTATTAATGCTTCCTGCTGCAGTCTGTGAGAGGCAGTACCTTGACATAGCCCTGTCTCATCTAATCTCTCCTCTGAACCTTACAGCACCCAGGGAGGTGGGAGGGTGGGTGCTGTTTGCTCCTTGCACCTGAGAGAGAGGCTCAGCGAGGCTGAGACACTGGTTCAAGGCCGAGAGCCAGGGCCCTGTTTACTTGGGCAAGTTCAGAATGCAAAGCCATACAGACTCTGTTTCATCGTAGGCACGTGTGAACGTGCGTTATTGTCCTCCATTAAGGACGTTCCTTCCTTGGATAAGTTGGGAGCCTGGCTTTCTTGTTGGGAAGGTGCTTGTACCCAGTAGGAGCTCAGTAGGTGTTGGCTGATGAATGGATGAGCTCCAGGCAGAGTGTGGCCCAGGCGGCAGCACGCCCTCTTCCTGCTTCATTTCTGTCATGTGCCAGTTCCTTCTCCCAGGGGCTGCAGGGCGGCAGCGTGGTCCCTTCTGTCTCTAGGCTGATGAACTCTGCTGTGGGCCTAACCTTCCTCCCCTCTTCTCCTCTCAGTCCTGCCCTCTCCCTGCTCTTTCTGATTTTATTATCTTCTCTGGAAATGCTTTTGCTGCCTGTTTTTTCTCTGGAAATTTTTAAACGTTGACAAAAGTTGAAAGGACTTGGTGTGGCTTTGGTCTTACAACACGTGCTGGGAACTGAGCCCCTCGGGTCCTGGTTGTGGCCTCGTCGCCTGGACCCACGTTGTTCAGCCTTCAGAGTGCCTCGTTTCTGGACGTGGTGCACACGTGACATGGGTCTTCTCTCTGGCCGCCCTGACTTCTGTCAGAGCTCTGCGTCTCGATGGCAGTGTCAGCTTGGAGTCCGAGGCCTCGGGTTCCGTCCTGGCTCCGACATTCAAAGGCGTGCGGTTGTACAGCTTGTTTAATAGCCTCTCCAGGTTTGTTCTTCATCTGTTAGATGGGTTAATGTTACTGTGTGGCCTCGGTAAGATGACAGTTCTTACATCCCTGCACGTGAGTGGTAGCAGTTGTCATTGCTGCCTGGGGTCGAATGCAGAGTTTGGAATTGGACAGATTTGGATTCAAATTCCAGCCTGTCTTTACATTTAACCTCTTTGCGCCTGTTTGCATGCCTGTTAAGGGACTAGAAGATAGTTTCCCGCAGATTAGTTCTGCGGCACCAACGCGATAGTGTACGTGAAGCGCTTAGCTGGTGGGTGCCAGAACTGTCATCAAGTCCTCCAGATTCGAAGCTTCTGAGGGCAGGGCCACGAGCTGTGGCTCCCCACCATGCCCCCCGACTCGGGCAGAGTCTGTGTCTGCTGGATTCTGCCCTCATCGTGTGCCACTCCCACCTTCCTCTTTTCTCTCTGCCTTCCTCCTATGACCAAGCTCAGGCCTATCTTGGGGCCTTTGCACGTGCTTTTTGCTGTGTGGAGTGTATTTCCTCCATGTGGCAGCATGGCTGGTTCCTTCTCTTCATCAGGCCTCTGCTCACATGCCATCTCCTCAGAGATCCCTTTCAGGGCACCCCATGTGAGAAGGCACTGCTCCCCACCGTCAGACTCTGTCACCTCACCTCGCGTCTGTTCTCCCTTCGGCTCTTCTCATCACCCCAAGTGTTACATGCTTGTTTTGTCTTCCCTACTAGAGAGGAGGCCCCCTGTAGGCAGAGACTTTTGTCTGTTTTCCTCACTCTTTACCACGGTGTCAAGGATGGTGCTTGTACCTTGTAGGTGCTCAGTGAACACGTGTCGACCCAATGTATGTTAGTCTTCCTTGGTGATGCCTTGGTGACACCAGGAGAGGGACACCTGAGACATACACCTCCTCACAGGCACCTCAGAAGGCCCATTTTCTCACAGTATAACCCACAGGTTTCCCACGATGGAAAGCACAATGGGAGACATAGGGTGAAGACCTCTGAGTCATGTCCTCATGATGCTGATGTGGCTGCTCTGGATAAGAAAAGACAGGGAGGGTCTCTTTTTTGTCCTACCTCGTCTGAACAGAGTGGCCTCTCGTGTCTGACCTAGAGGCTGAGGAGGAGCCCTCATTCCTTCTCTTTCTTCCCCTGAGCCCTGGGCTGTGGGCTTTTATCTCCTGCATTGCAGTTTGAGGACAGCATTGGTCCTGTGACCCCACTTCTTGCCTCAGGGTCTTTGGTGGACCCCTTTCTCCGTGGGCGTCCTGAGTGTGAGGGGATAGAGGGAACCCCTCTCTATCTCTGTCTTCTCCGTCCCTCGTTTACTGCTTCTCTCCTTCTTCACAGTTTATTTATACACCAATGGAATGGGATAGAGACCTGGATTTCTTAGGTGTGTATAAAGGATTAAACAAGTTCTAGTGCCAGTAAGGGCTTCGAAGAGAGCTTGACAAGTAAAGGGTTCAAATTTTAGGTAAAAGGAAGAAACCGACAAACCATACCATTTTCTCAAAGAGGATTTGAAGCAGCATATCAAAACAGATAAAAACGAGACAGGTTATTAGTAAATTGGCATAAAGTGGAAATGTAGGTTTGAAAAGAAGATCAGAAGGAGGGTTAGGACACATTGTGGTTGCCACATGGCCATGTACATTACTAGATGTGTAATTCTGGCTGTGAGCTTCCTAGCAGCCAATCCCAAGAGGGAAATATACTTCACAGGGTTCATTAGCGGGGAAAACAAAACAGAACTGGCTCCCCGGGAGAAACTCAGAAGTTCCTGGTCCTGGCATCTGACTGAGGGATATAGTAAACAGTCTTTAATATGTGGATGGACAGTAACAACAGTTAAGTTTGTGGATAGCAACCTTCGGTGCTTGTTTAATTTGAAGGTGTGGTTTTCTATCAGTGGAGGCTTTCCTGCGTTGAAGATATCCAGAAGAGTAGCTCCTATAAGTAACTATGGACTGTGTATTGGGGAGACCTCCCCCTCCTTGCTCCGTAACGTGGCTTGTACTAACTGTAGAAGTCAGTGTAGGAAAACCAGATCTCTTTGTAAACTTAAGTATTTCTATGTCAGTGTGGAGCCAGATGTCACTTGATCTGCTGTCTGGTCTGGTATTGATAAACAGCTTTAACTGGGAGTATATCATTGTTCAAGACAGATGTTGTCCAGTAGCAGGGACTTCGAAAAGCACTTAGAAATTGCAAGCCTGTGTTTTTTTTCGTAGTGGCTGAGTATAGTTTCACCATGGAAACATCTCCACATTCATTCTCATCCTGCCCTGCCCTTCTGTTTTGTGTGGCTAATAAGAGTAATCAGCTGAGCCCACTGGGTCTCTTAGACTACACAGGAATTAGTTGTGAAAGGGAAAAGAGAATTTGTCTTGAAAAGTTGGCCTATCATAGCACACCATCCAGATCGGTGAGGGGACAGTGTAATAGGCGAGATCTGCTGATTAGTGTTGACTTTGCTCTCTTCCCTCAGGTGAACTGCGACAAGCCATCGTGGCCATGATGAACAGGAAAGACGAGCTGGAAGAAGAGAACAGGTATCGTGGTCTTCAGGCTTGAAGAAGAGCCTCTTCCTTTGACATTCTGCCTCTGGGACAGAGAGAATATCACAGATGAAGGAAATTTTGCTTTACTGGCACAATTGTGACCAATGATTTCTTATTTTTTATCTTGGAGGTACCACTTTACTATATATGTATTGTGGCTTGAGTGTTAGCAAGGAATGAAAACCTTATAATCATGGCACCACCTTATAACAAACTAATTTGGTAACATAATCTTTTTTAAAAAGTCTTTTTTTAAAAAACAGCCTTTATTGAGATTTAATCCACATACATACAATTCATCTGTTTAAAGCATACAGTTCAGTGGTTTTTAGTATAGTCACAGATATGAGCAACCATCACCATAGTCCACTTCAGAACATTTTTACCACCTCAAAAAGAAAATGCATACCCTTTAGCTATCACTCTGACCCCCTAACCCCCAAACCAAAGGTTTTGAATAACCTTTAGTTGAGGGCCTACTGTGTTCCAGGCATTCGAATATTTGTCTTAAATTTTTCTCAAATCAGGGATACCTAGGGCAAGATGGTATTTAGATTCTTTTGACTTCCTCAAAAGCCCAGTTGCAGACACTGAGAGGGCAAAGGATTTTATTTGTCTTTTTTCCCTGTGTAACCATGCTAGATACTAGCCGGGTGTTAGCTGTGTTGCTTCCATCTGGTTGCCTGAATGTGAGCTTCTCGACTGCCAGGACCTTGTCTTGGCTACCGGGCAGTCAGTAGAAGGATTTGCCTCGATTATCTGCTGAGCTTCTGCGAGCGTGGTGAGGCTGCCTCCCTGGGGGTTAGGAGTGGTGCTGGGGTGCATGTGTGTGTTCATGTTGCCCTCTTATTGTTTTATTCAGAGCAGGAATTAAGTGTCCACAGTGACATGCAATCATGTTCTCCTTTTTAAACCTTATTTTGGGCCCTGATTGACAAGCTTCTCCTTCATCCTTTATGGAAACATATAAAAGCAAACAAGCATGATTACTAAAACAAAAGAGGATTTTTTTCAAAAAGGAATCTTTAGACAGCATAATTTTCCAACTAAAACTTTCCACAAAGGGCTCATAGACATTCAGGATTCTTTTTCTTCCTCCAGCTGGAGCTGTTATTTTGGAAGAAGCCATGGGTTTTGTCTTACCTTGTAAAGAACAATAGTCACTGTCTGTTAATTTCTTCTCCTTCCCAGAGAAAAAAAAAATCATACCATGTTTGTTCCACGCCCCAAAAGGGGAATTTTCTCAAAACTCAAAACACAGGCCTTAGAGAGTTCAGTGAGCAATGGGGATGGAGGGGTCAGACACTTGCTTATATTTTGATGTCATATGGCAGGTGTCCTCTAGATTGAGGATGTAGGTGCACCAAAGTCAGTAAATGTTTTCTAGAAATAGCCACTTGAGGTCCAGTGAAGTAAATGGTTGGCAGAACCATTTGGTGACTTGTGGTTATTTCTGAAATAGCTGCTGTCTTCATTGCTGTTTAGGGCCAAGGATGACAGATATGCAAGTGAGTGTGTTTTGGAGAGTTAACAAACTCCAAATATAATATAAAACACAGTAGATGCAATGTCAAACTATATAGCTCTATAAAACACTATGTGCTTGTTTAACCTGGAGATGGCAATGGAGCAGGATTCAAGTGTGTTTTGTGGGTAGACGTGGAGATGAGAGTAGACATCTGTCAGCTAATCTGAGCCTGTATTCTATTTTTATGGCTCAGATTATTCTTTTGACCTGTCCTGGCATCCTTTCCTTTGTTAAATCTCTTATCCAATGTGGCTGTGACAAAATGGCCTCAGTTTAATATGCTACACCTTTGAACGGGATGTCTTTAAAGGGGCTTGCCTGGGGTTTGCTCAGCTCATTGTTTTCCCTTGATTTAAGCTGCCCACAGGCATTGGGGACACGGGGCCTGGGCCGCAGATGGTTCCCCTGGGGCTCATCCTAATTATTACTCTGAGGCTCTTGAGCAGAGCTTGGTATCTCCTTAAATCAATTTATACGAGAAGGACTTGAATTATGGTTTATGCAGAGCATTGTGGAAAATGAATGAATTAGGACTTAGGTAAATTACTGTGTTCTGGCTCCATGAACTCGGGGTTGACAGCATCTGAACAGATGGGGCCCCCTCTTCCCAGATCGCTCCGGAACCTGCTTGATGGTGAGATGGAGCACTCGGCTGCACTCCGGCAAGAGGTCGACACCTTGAAAAGGAAGGTAGCTGAGCAGGAGGAGCGGCACATCATGAAGGTCCAGGCATTGGCAAGGTAGGGGAGGGCAGAGGGGCTGAGAGGTGGGCGTGGGGAGGCTTTGTTAAAACAGCAAACACACCTTCCACCAGTATGTTTTCATTAAAAAAAAAAACGTGACCAATGGAAATAAAATTTATGCGTTTGAAATTTTAATTTAATTTATTTCATTGAATAAATATTGAATAATATGTGTGCACATGGTTCAATAAAAGGTACAAGTGTTTAAACTGTGGAAGTCCCCTCTCTGGTCCCCAGCCACCCAGTTTGCCCCCTGGAGGTGGGCAGTATTACCAGTGTAGAGATGCTCTGTGCATACACAAGCAGATATGGATGCACGTACCTGCTTTTCTTTTCATTTCCCTCCCCCGCTCCCTTTGTCCTTTCCTTCCTTAATGCAAAATGGTCACGTATCCTACACACTGCTCACTTTACATCTTAGAGATTGTTCTGTATTGGTGTACATGCGGCCGCCATCTTTTTAATGTTGTTGTTAGTGCCGTCGAATGGATTCCAAATCCTAGCGACCCTGTGTACAGCAGAGTGGAACCCTGCCCGGTCTTTTCGAGCCATCCTCTCACCTTCCAGCGCTATATCAGACATTGCTCTGCTGCTGTTCATAGGGTTTTCATGGCCAGTTTTTTTGGAAGTCGTGGCTGGATCCTTCTTCCTACCTAGTCTGTCTAGTCTGGAAGCTTCACTGAAACCTGTCCACCACGAGTGGCCCTGCTGGTATTTGAAATATCAGTGACATAGCTTTCAGCATCACAGCAACACGCAGCCACCACAGTATGACGAATGACAGACAGGTGGTGTTGTTCCCTGACTGGGAAACAAATCCGGGCTCTGGTGGTGAGAGTGCAGAATCTTAACCACTAGACCACCATCATTTTTTAATTTAATTTTATTTATTATTTTTTTTATTGTGAAATTTTTGTTGTACATTATTGTTTATCAGTCACCGTATAAGTGGATCCCTCCACCCCTTGTGCCCACCCCCCACCCCCCTAGCCCCTGGTAACCACCAAACAGTTCTATCTGTGCGTGTGTTGGTTTATCTTCCACATATGAGTGAAATCATGCCCTGTTTGTCTTTCTCTTTCTAGCTTATTTGACTTAACATAATACCATCCAGGGCCATCCATGTTGTTGCAAATGGGATGATTTTGTCTTTCTCTATGGCTGAGTAGTATTCCATGGTATATATATATACCACGTCTTCTTTATCCATTCATCAGTCGAGGGACGCTTAGGTTGCTTCCGTGTCTTGGCTATAGTGAATAATACTGCGATGAACATAGGGGTGCATAAGCCTCTTTGGATTGTTGATTTCAGGTTCGTTGGGTAGATACCCAGTAGTGGGATAGCTGGAGCATAAGGTATTTCTATTTTTAATTTTTTGAGGAATCTCCATACTGTTTTCCACAGAGGCTGCACCAGTTTGCATTCCCACCAGCAGTGGATTAGGGTTCCCCTTTCTCCACAGTCTCTCCAGCATTTGTTGCTTTTTGTCTTGGTGATTATAGCCATTCTAACAGGTATAAGGTGATATCTTAGTGGGGTTTTGATTTGCATTGCACTGATGACTAGTGATGTTGAGCATCTTTTCATGTGCCTATTGGCCATCTGTATATCTTCTTTGGAGAAGTGTCTGTTCATTTCCTCTGCTCATTTTTTGATTGGGTTGTTTGTTTTTTTTTTGTTATTTAGTTGTGTGAGTTCTTTATATGTTATGGAGATTAATCCCTTGTCAGATATACGGTTTGCAGATATTTTTTTCCCAGCTGGTGGGTTGCCTATTCATTTTGATCCTGGTTTCATTTGCCTTGTAGAAGCTCTTTAATCTGATGAAGTCCCACTTGTTTATTTTTTCTTTTGTTTCCCTTGTCTGAGTAGACATGGAATTCAAGAAGATCCCTTTATGGCTGATGGTGAGTAGTGTACTACCTATATTTTCCTCCAGGAGTTTTATAGTTTCAGGTCTCACCTTCAGATCTTTGATCCATTTTGAGTTAATTTTTGTGTATGGCGAAAGAAGATGGTCTACTTTGATTCTTTTGCAAGTGGCTGTCCGGTTTTCCCAGCACCATTTATTGAAGAGACTTTCCTTTCTCCACTGTATGTCCTTAGCTCCTTTGTCAAAGATTAGCTGCCCATAGATATGAGGTTTTATTTCGGGACTTTCAATTCTGTTCCATTGATCTGTGTGTCTCTTTTTGTACCAGTACCATGCTGTTTTAATTACTATCGCTTTGTAGTATGTTTTGAAGTCAGGGATTGTGATGCCTCCAGCCTTGTTCTTCTTTTTTAGGATTGCTTTAGCTATACGGGGTCTTTTGTTGTCCCATATGAATGCTAGTATTCTTGGTTGTATTTCTGTGAAGAATGTTCTTGGGATTCTGATTGGGATTGCATTGAATCTGTAGATTGCTTTAGGTAGTATGGACATTTTAGCAATGTTTATTCTTCCAATCCAAGTGCATGGAATATTTTTCCATTTCTTTATGTGATCATTGATTTTGCTCAGTAATGTCTTATAGTTTTTATTGTATAGGTCTTTCACTTCCTTGGTTAAATTTACTCCTAGATATTTTATTCTTTTTTTTTTGTGAGGAAGATCAGCCCTGAGCTAACATCCATGCTAATCCTTCTCTTTTTGCTGAGGAAGACCGGCTCTGAGCTAACATCTATAGCCAGTCCTCCTCCTTTTTTTCCCCCAAAGCCCCGGTAGATAGTTGTATGTCATAGATGCACGTCCTTCTAGTTGCTGTATGTGGGACGCGGCCTCAGCACGGCTGGAGAAGTGGTGCATCGGTGCGCGCCCGGGATCTGAACCCCAGGCTGCCGGTAGTGTAGCGCGCGTGCCCTTAACTGCTAAGCCACGGGGCCGGCCCGATATTTTATTCTTTTTGTTGCAATTGTAAATGGGATTGTCTTTTTGAGTTCTCTTTCTGTTAGTTCATTCTTGGTATATAGAAATGCAACTGATTGCTGTCAGTTGATTTTGTACCCTGCCACTTGGCTGTATTTGTTGATTATTTCTAATAGTTTTCCAATGGATTCTTTAGGGTTTCCTATATATAAGATCCTGTCATCTGCAAACAGTGAGAGTTTCACTTCTTCGTTGCCTATTTGGATTCCTTTTATTCCTTTTCTTGCCTAATTGCTGTGGCCAGAACCTCCAGTACTGTGTTGAATAAGAGTGGTGAGAGTGTAGACCACCATCTTTTTAATAGCTCATGATATTTCATTGTCTGAGTGCACCACAATTGATTTGACCAGTGTGCCAACAGCCAGGCATTGAGGTTTCTGGTCTTTTGCTGCTTCTAATGCCACAGTGAATAACCTTTGCATTTGTCATTTTGTTCCTATATGAGTATATTTGTTGGAAAAGTTCCTGAAAGTAGAATTGCAGGGTCCAAGTGCAGTGTTTTCCTATGTTGGAGGGCAGTTGGATCATCAGCCAGCCTCCAGGAGGCTGAGCCAATGTACTTTGCACAGCAGCAGGTGAGAGGGCCTGATTCTGCACAGCCCTGCCCACAGGGGTCAGATCCAACTTCAGGGTCTTGATAATATCCCAGGTGAAAAATGGCACTGGCAGGATTATTTTCCATTGGCATTTCCCTAATTAAGAGTGTGGTTGAGCCTGTTTTTTTTTTAAGAGCCATTTTCTTTTTCTTTCTTCTTCTTCTTTTTTTTTTTGTGAGGAAGATCAGCCCTGAACTAACATCCGGTGCCAATCCTCCTCTTTTTGCTGAGGAAGATTGGCCCTGGGCTAACATCTGTGCCCATCTTCCTCTACTTTATATGTGACATTGCCACAGCACGGCTTGACAAGTGGTGCATTGGTGCACGCCCAGGATCTGAACCTGCGAACCCAGGCCGCCAAAGCAGAGCGTGCGCCCTTAACCGCTACGCCACCGGGCTGCCCCCTAAGAGCCATTTTATTTCCTTTTCTGTGACTTTGTTTATATCTTCTTAAAGAAAACTGTAAAGTGAATCCAAAATAGTCCCAGCTCCCCTAAAAACATGCATTTTCACTGAATTTCTTCACATGCAAACATATTTTTATGTCCTATACTTAAAATCTATAGCATGTCATTTCTTATTCTGCCTCCCTCCACAACTTAAGCAGTTTTTATTGTTTCTGTATAAGCTTCATGTTAACCGTTTTTGTAGACCTAGATGTGGTATTTCATTGAGTTAATGTACCATACAAAAATAACCATTTCTGATTGGACATTTGAGTTTTAGTTTTTTCCTGTTTTAGGTAAGATAAGTAGTTCATTGGTGGTTCTTTAAAACTACTTTTAAATCAGAACAGGAGGTAAACATGTCTTGTGGATGTGCAAGGGAGTCCCGAGTGAAGTCAGTTTACGCAGCATCATTTCCCATCCTTGTGCTGTCAGGTGATACGAGTGGCACTGATGTTAATTGTTATGTATATGTCATTGGAAGTTGGCACCATGATCCCATATTTAATTTCAATTTGAACTTCCTTCTTCACATTTTAAAATGGCATCTCAGGAGCATCAGAGACAGTTAAATGACTATGACAAATGCAGTAAGAGGTGCCTAATTTGGCGTTGCTCACCCAGACCACCATTTTACCTGGCTAGTCTAGGGTTCTATGGCGTAATTGTGTTTGTTCACAATAAAGACTTGTCTATAGAGACTCAGGTTCTGAATCATCAAAGAAAGAGAGACTTACATTCCCTGTCATTTTTGGATTGTGTTAGGAGTCAGCTTAGCCTTGGATCCCGGCTCCATTGCGTGCATACTGTGTGTTTCTGGGTGATATTGCTTAACTTCTGCAAGCATGCATTTCCTCGTTTATGAAATGGAGAGGGTCATCTTCGCCGCTTGAGAGGACAGAATGAGGAGGAATGTATGTGAAAGTCCATGAGGCGCTGGACACGAGCAAGCTATTGTAAGTGTCCTGTAGTATATGATAATTCTTGAGAAAATTTTAGCCCATGAATGGAATAGAAAAAACCAATTTCTTAACCAAGCAATTT